AGAGGAAGGGGGGGGAGGAGGAGGAGGAGAAGGAGGAGGAGGGGGAGGAGGAGGAGATGGCGAAGTAGTAGGCGCGGGAGGAGCGGGAGGCGCAGGAGGAGAGGGAGGATGATGGGAGGGAGCAGGCGGAAGAGCGCGGAGGCTCAACACAAACAATCACCACATTCTTCTATACCATGTAAGTATACCGGTCCAGATGCAGTAATTAGTCTGCACATGCATACACACATACGCGCACACGCATACACACCTTCGTCTCCCTGGGGTGATCCACCGAATGGCGGCGGCGGCGCCAACCAGCAGCCCGCCCTTTGGGTATGAGCCCGAGGCGTTGCCGATGCCAGTAGTGGCGGAGTCGGGCCGAGGTGGAGGGGCTCCGCCCTGCCCCGCCGCGCTCCTCGCGCTCCTGCCCCCTCCCCGCGCTCCTCGTCATCGTCGTCGCTCCTCCTCGCCGCCTCCCGGGTCTTTGACCCCCGCTCGCCGTCCGAACGTTCCCTCCCGCATCCTTCCTCGTCCTCCTCCTCATCGTCGCAGCAGCAGAAGACGAGGCCGCAGCGTTTGTTTGACAAATAAATGCCTCCTCGGAGCTTCTCGTGGCAGCGCGACGCAGCCCCCCTGTGTCAGCACCTGCGAGACGTGGCCCCACGAGCGGGGACTCACGAGAGATTCGGCTCTCTGCGGCGGACCGTACTTTCTTCGTTAACGCTGTGCTGGCTCGTTTGGCCGTGACGCCGAGTAACAACCATCAGCCGTTTCTTTGCCTGATAGATAACTCTGCCTGTCGCACCCCGAGGCCAGTCGCAAGGGCGGGCCAGGCGTTTCGCCTGAGACTTCCATACCGCTCACTACTTCGAAGCTTAACACATGGCAGCAGTTTCATGTATGGAGGGCGGGTGGTTTCAAACTTTGGCTCTCGGCTTAGCGCCGCGCACGTACGCTTTCAACATTCGCTAGAGCTTCGCGGATTGAGGGCGGGTGATTTTCAAAATGTGGTTCCCGAGAATTTGCAAGAGCTCCACGGATTGATGGGGGGGGTCAAAATATGGCTCTCGCCCTAGCGCCGCGCACATTCATTGTATACGTTTGATTTGGGAGAGCTTCACAGCTGGAGGGCGGGTGGTCTCAAACTGTGGCTCCGTTTAGCGGCGCGCACACTCGTTGTAGACATTTGTAAGAGCTTCACGGATTGAGGGCGGGCTGTTTTCAAAATGCGTTTCTCGGCTTAGCGCCGCGCGCATTTTTGTTTGTGCAACAATTCGGTTCGCAAATGGGGGGCGGCTCGTTTTCAACATGTGGTGGCTCTTGCCTTAGCGCCGCGCGCACTCGTTTTGACTGTTTACATGGGGCTCACGGAATCCCATGGTCAAAACGTATAAGAAACTATGGTTTGGAAGGGCTCAGGGCTGTAAGGGTGCACAACTTATTTTGATTCGCGACGTTGAAGTCCCAATCATGGTTTTCTGACACGATTCAGGATCGTTTGGAGACGCGAGAATGGTATTCTGGAGTGCCCCAAGGTCTCCAAGCGGTTGTCTGTCAAATGGGGCCGTTTCCTCAATGAAAATGAACCTTTGAACGGCCTGCGAGACCGAGCTTGGCAGGAAGCTCGTTTTCAACATCGTTGATGGGTCTTGTCCTCCGCCTCATCATCCTCCGCCTCCTCCGTCGTCGCTCCTCCTCCTCCTTCCCTGTCGTCGCTCCTCTTCGCCTTTTCCTGGAACCTGGGTGTTCGATCTCCGTTCGCTTTCCTTCTCCTCACTTCTCCTCCTCCTCGTTGTCCTCCTCCTCGTTGTCCCCCTCCTCCTCCCCATCCTCCTCCTCCTCCTCCTCGTTGTCCTTCTCCTCCTCATCTTCATCCTCCTCCTCCTCGTCCTCCTCCTCCTCTCCTCCTCCTTCTCCACCTCCTCTTCCCCCTCCTCCTCCTCCTCCTCCTCCTTCTCCTCTTCCTCCTCCTCCTCCTCCTCCTCCTCCTCCTTTTCCTCCTCCTCCTTCTCCTCCTCCTCCTCCTCCTCCTCCTTCTCCTCCTTCTCCTTCTTCTCCTCCTCGTCCTCCTATTCCTGGTCCTCCCTGTCCTCCCCCCATCAGCATCACCACCATTAGCATCTTACGCACACTGCGTCTTGCCTGGTTGGGTGTGGTTTCCATTGGGGGGCGCGTATCCCAGCATCAACGTCCGAAGGCCTTAATGTGTCATGACATGTCATGGCCATTTGTTTCATCACATGTCATGTGCACTATCGTAATCAATCGTGTTCCTCATCACCCTCCTCTTGTCCGTTATCCTAATCCTCTGTCCTTCATTTTATCCTACCACTCCATTCCCCCATCCTTACCCCGATGCCCAGGTCGCGCTCGTCCCCCAGACTATCTCAGAGGCACCCCTCGGAGGAGACCGCCCTGGTGAGCACGGACCTGGACCCCGAGGAGCGCGAATCAGCCAAGAGCAGTGCGTCTCTTGACTAGATGATTATATGTGCTTCCAGTTCTGGCGGGATCCGCGATGGGTGTTCAAGGCTGAGTCGAGTCTTGGCCCTCTGCAGCTTTCAAGATACATGTAGGCTCTCGTCGTTGAGCGGCGGCCCTCCCATAATCGCATCGGTCGACCCTTGGACGTCCTCGCGCTGGCCTCACGGCAAGGCTGCTGGAGCAGATCCAACTATCTTTCCTTCTTTGCTTGGTCGTCGCCAGATCTGTTCCCGTCCATTTCCTGTCCTTCGCATCGAGCCAATCGGGCGCGCAACGCGCGGGCCACCGATACAGCTTTCGCACAGGATCCTGCGCCCTGCCAGCTCTTCATTAGGTTCGGACGAACCCGATGATGTGGAACGTTCTTGAAGATGGTTTGGGCGCGTTCCTTGCTTTGCGTCTCCAGCAAGAGGCGGCCCGGGTCTTTTTTTGGTTTGTTGTCCTTTTTCAGGGTAAGGCGCGCGTGGGCCGTGCTCGTTGCCCCTGCCCCCCCCCCGGCCCCCGAGGGTCGAGGCCTCCCAGATGGGGTCGGAGTCGATGGGGTCGGAGGACCGCGCCGCATCACCGACGCATCGTCGATGCGGCTCGATGCGGAGCCCGATTTGCTCCACGCCGACGGCGCCGATGCGTCGCCGACGTCGCGGTGCCTCGCCGATGCATCGGCAATGCGGCGCGATCCTCCGACTGCTCAGAGCCCACCTGGGAGGCCTCTAGAGGAGCAGACGGCGGCCTTCAGCTGGCCAGTCAAGAACGGCGCCGATTCCGACTCGGAGGAGGGCGGCTGGGGCGCGGAGGACCTCGTGATGGGCTTTTTTCCCCACCACCACCACCATAAGTTGGAGGGGGGAAGGAGGAGGAGGAGGAGGAGGAGGAGGACGAGGAGGAGGAAGAGAAGGAGGAGGAAGAGGAGGGGGAGGAGGAGGAGGAGGAGGAGGAGGAGGAGGGAGGAGAGGAGGAGCAGGTTCGAGGAGGATCAGGAGGAGGAGGTTTAGGAGGAGCAGGAGGAGGAGGAGGAGGAGGAGCAGGAGCAGGAGGAAGAGGAAGAGGAGGAGGAGGAAGTGGAGGAGGAGGAGGAGGCGGAGGAGGAGGAGCAGGAGCAGGAGGAGGAGGAGGAGGACCCCCTCCCCCTCCAACTTCTGCTGGTGGTGGTGGCAAGCAGGCCCGTCACCGCGGGCGGGCGGCAGGCGGAGCCGGGCAGGCCAGGCACCGCCACGGCACCCCTCGCGGCCCCAGAGGGGGCACGACGGGAGGTTTTGAACCGTCTTCGGCCTCATTGTGAGCCGTGCCAGGTCATGGGAGCGTGTTTCTTTCGGTATCGTTTAACGGGTCCCCATCCCCATCCCCATCCCCTTTGAGACCCCCACCAAATTACCACCCCAGTTGGGGATACACCACGAAGGGAACGGCCTATATCCCCATCTAAGTGGGTAAATCGGCCAGTGGGGCCCAGGCCACGCCGCTGGGGATGGGGTCGGATAGTTAAACGATGCTCATTGCTTGGGGCACCATGCGCGCTCTGGGCGCCAGGGAGCGGGGTCCAGCGCGAATCCAAGAAATCCGCGCGGAGCGCCAAAAGTTTATGTCTATGTGGTTTTCTCTTCTTCTAATGCATGCAGCTGCTGGCAAGCAGCGCACCAGAGGCCATTGTCCCAGACCGCGACGTCGTGATTTTGTCCCAGCGTGGACCCCAAGGGGTCTGAGATCCCCTTTCCCGCGACTGGTTGCTCGGGCAGCTTCTCGACGGTCCCGGTGCCTGGTGAGGGCCCCGGAGCCCGAACACGGCAAACACAATGGTGAGGGGAGGTCTGGGCTTGCTGACAGTGTCGTCACTCCTGCGCGCAGCCAGCTGAAGAGCGAACGTTGGCCCTGGCCTGGCCCCGCCCAGAGCGCCCGGGGTAGGGGCCGCCGGCTGCCCCAGTCCGCGCGCGCCCGGAGGACGCGCTGGCGCGCGCCAGGCCGTACGTCACCTCGCAGGGCTCCCACAGGGGAGGCGAAAAGCTGGCGCGGCCGGTGCCACGGTGGATGGCGGCTGCTGGTCACTATTATCACGCCGTAGCTTTTTGGCTCCAGTAGTTTAGAAGAACGAGCTTAACTCACGGCATCCGCACACAACGGCGGATCACTCCTGAGAGCGTTGGAAAACCTTATTTGCCTTGACCCCCCTTGCACACTCGTTCGGGAGGCGAAAAGCTGGCGCGGCCGGTGCCACGGAACGCTCCTTCCTCCACCGGTTGAAGAATGCCATATCGGCGGAGGGTTTTTCCAACTTCTCAGGTTCCTGGGGGCCCTCAGTGGGCCCTGGGACCGTCAAATAACGGTAACGTCGGGACCATGAATTAATTGTATATACCGTTGTTTAGCGGTCCCGGCCGGGGGGGGGAGACATCCAGTGGTCCTCTATGCGAATAGATGCACGACTTCGGATCTCAGTGTTTTCCTTCCTCCTTCCACGAAGAAGAAACAAGTAGACGTGAATTGCTGAAGGTGCGCGCAGTTGGCGCTGGGCTCCCCTGGCGGCGCCTCCTGCGCCGCCCCTGGCGCGCTCCGCGCGCCATGGAGCGCCGATTCTAGAAATCCGCGCGGACCTCCGACATTTTACGACTATGTCAGAATGATGGAGCCGGGCGTGGAAGTACATCTGCGCCCCAGTGCCACGTTCGAAGAGGGCCTGCGGATTTCCGTTCGATTAGGTAAGGGCAACGTTGATTTCCCAATCGAGAACATGGGTTTCGCGCGTGCCCGCTCGGGCGCGTTGGCGCTTTCAATCTTTGAAAGCAAATTTGTCGAGAATTTGATTTTGCGCGTGCCCTGCTCGAGGCTGGCGCGTCTTGCGTGCAGAATGTTCGAGGATGTCATTGAAACTCCTGTGTTGAAGAAGCGCCTTAGGTCGCCCCGGCTGATGTTATAACACTATGACTTGCTGAGGATATGTTTTGCGATGCGCTTGTTTTCAGGTGTCCAGGTCGCCGAGGCGGATATCTAAGACGAGGGCTTTCGAGGACGCCTCGAGCGGAGCGCTTTCTGTCGCCCGTGGGCCGAAGACGCGGGTTTCTACATGGGTTCCTCTCGTCCGTGTGCCGAAACAGTGGTTTTCAGTGGTTCCTTCCGCGCGCGAGCCCAAACTGGCTGCGTTTTGGAATGGGAAAGGACGCTTCCCATGGTCGCTCAGATAGGGCCCCCCCCCGTTCGGAAACCAAGGGGAGGGAGGGTACACTCCCCCCCGCCGGGTTCGAACTCGAGGGGGGGGAACCCCCCTCCCCCGGGTTTGAACGGTTTGACACCCGGGAGGAGGGTGTGGGAGGGGGGGCGACGACGATGGTGTCGTGCCTGGCGTCGGCGTCGTCTTCGTCGTCGTCGTCGTGCTCTTCGTCGTCGGCGTCTGCGTCGGCGTCGTCGGCGTCGGTGTCTGCGGCGGCGGCGGCGTAATCGACGTCGTCGTCGGCGTCGTCGTCGACGTCAGCGTCGGCGTCGGTGTCGGCGTCGTTCCGGGCGCCGTCGTCGTCGTCGTTGTTGGCGTCGGCGTCGGCGTCGTGTTCGGCGTCGTGGATGTGACCGGTGTATGGATGACCTTGGCTTAGTGCTGCCATTTGCCATCGTATAATGCTATGCGTGCTCATGTTCCTCGGTTTGCCCGCGCGTGCGTGCGACGACTGGTGCCGCAAACGGGAAGCCAGACTTGACCGAGACCTTGTGCAAAGCGCCATGGTACAATAAAAATCTACGTGGCGCCTCCCCCGAACGCGTAAATCCTGGCCACACAAAGGCAGACATGAGGCGAACGCCAAACGACCAGGAGCACGAATTATACGTAAGGGACAACAGGGGAAATTGCGTGAAGAGCGCAGCTGCCGACACTGTAGGGCACGCCCCAAACACGAGCTTGCGAACAGCATTGCGTGGCTTGGGGACCTCGAAAAGAATAGGTTCAGGACGGACGCCGCTGGGAACAACGATATGAGTACCCATCCATAGCGGCACCGAAACATGTATATATGCGGTTCGCAAGAAACCACTCTGAGCAAACTGTGCAGCCGAGATGTAGACCTGCGGAGGAGGAGGAGGAGGAGGAGGAGGAGGAGGAGGAGGAGGACTGGGTTGAGGAGGATAGGAGCGGGATGGCAGGGGACCGAGGGGAGGGCCGCAGAGGAGGGGGCATGGAGAGAGGAGGACAGGGGCGAGCATAATAGAATGAGATCGGAGGGGAGGAGGGTTGCTAATCACACGACAGCTCGCCGCTTGGGCCTCATTGCCATCCCCAATGGCGAGCTTGAAGCGGGCGCATTCCCGTTGAAACTGCCAAAGGGTGCGCCACCAAGGGGGTGCGTCATGGGCTGCGCCACCTGTGGGTCTGTATTGCGCTAGGTATGGGACGAATTTCACGATCGGAAGGTTGCGTCATAGATTGTCCAATGCATGGACCTCGCCATTTGTAGTGCCATCCAGTGGTTGCGCCATGGGAAGTGGCATCCATGGGTTGCGCCATTGGTTACGCCACGGGATGCGCCAGTCATGGGTTGCACCGTAGGGGGGGCGCCATGGGGTGCGCCACTGTGTCCACCATGGGGTGCTCCGAGGGTTGCCACATCCACTGGTCGTGCAATGCGTTGCGCATTCAGAGGTCGAACATACAATTGTTTCCCACCGTTTGCGCACACCCGGCGGCCGAACCTGCAATGGTTTGTGATTGGTTGCGCGCACTCGGATTCCAAGCATACAACCGCCTGCATTTGGCTGCGCCATAGGTTGTGCATTCGGCGGGCGACAATACAATAGCCGACAACAAAAGGGCCTCTAGTAGTCACACGTCCCCACCATGTATGATCCTGACGCTCGCTGGCCCAAGATGAAACGGCTTACCATCGGGCGCGTCAAGTCAGCCACCCAGTCAGGTAGTCAGTCGGTTTACACCGCGAACAGTGTCGGGCTACGCCCGACATGAGAAGGGGGGCGAGGAGACTGGAGATGAGGGAGGACACGCATGGAGCGGAGGGGGGGAAGGGAAGAGGGAGGAGCGTCCTGGGGGGGGAGGTGCGGCGCGTGGAGGAGTTGGGGCTGCGAGGGCTGTCGGGATGGAGATGTGCTCCTTGGGGTAGCGGGGTCCGGGGCTGTCTTCCCCACGGCTGAGCAGTTGTTGACGTCCCCGGGCCCGTGGTGGAGGGCCCCCGGGCGCCGGCAGCCGCAAAACAACACATCGTTGTGACTTCTGGACGACCGAAAGAGAGGAGGGCCAGGGTTGTTTTTTGTCCTAGAGTTGTCCCAGGGGCCCGAGAACAACGGAAATATTGCAGGACCCCTTTCCTCCAGGATCGGCTTCCTTCGTGCTACGCAGGGTACGCTCTCCCGCTGCCCCCCCCCCCCCCAGGCTCGGCCAGGAGCCCTGAGCAGGAGCAGGCGGCCGCGACAGCGGTGAAAGGCTTCGGCTTCAGGAACTGGGACGACTTCATGGAGTTCGACCCCAACGTGAAACACAGGATCCCCATCACCCAGAGCGAGTTCGGGCTGCTGCTGGAGAAGGTGGGGGGTGATATGCTTGTTCTTGGCTGTATGTCGCTTTTGCTTCGTTCTCACTCCAGAAGAATGAACAATTATAGTTGACAGCCCTCCAGTGGCCAGCACTGGCCCTTCACACTGCAAGTGTGCCCCCTCGACGTTCGCATGGACCCTGAGGAACTATTGGTGCTCAGATTATGTTGGTCGGCCCCTGGGAACAGCAACAATGGCCATCGCCGCTACTTTCTCCCAATTTGCTCAGGGATTGTGCTTTCGCTCAAGACCTCCGCGTAAATTACCTCAAGGATTGGGCTCTCGCCTTGGCCTTCCTTGCAAATCGCCCAGGTATCGCGCTATCGCCTATGACCCCCTTCCTTGAATTGATTGTTAGCCCGTTCCCTCACAACTCATTTACGAATCGCCCTCTCGCCCGAGACACCATCACACATGTATCAAGGAAATGCGCTCTCGCTTGAGGCGTCATGATGTTTTACTCAGGCATCGCGCTGTCGCGCGGGACTTTCTCGCCCCACATCCTCAATGTCCCGCCCGCCCGAACGGCCCGTTAGGGTCGCCCGCCAAATCCGCCCGTTAGGGTCTGCCCGTGAGGCCCGCCCGTCAGGGCCGTTTTGGGTGCGCCGGCCCGACCCGTTGCTGGAGCCCGCCCTCCCAACACCGACCCGCCTGTTCGAATGTCCCGCCCGACCAGCCCGCCAGGGTCCGCCCGCCAGATCGGTTGTGTTACCCAGTCGGGGTTCACCCGGGTCGCCGCCATGCACAGTTATTTTGGCGAAGGACCTAACCATATACAGTTGTAAGTGCCGTGCTGTTGCACCGCTTTCGGTGGACCCCCCTACGGGGCCACCAACCGTGTGAAGGGTGCGCCAGAATGGGACGGTGCCGCAATGAGAACCCTGCCAGTGGGCCCTTCGGTGGAGCTCCTTATGGGGCCAAGAATCATGTGAGGGTTGCACAAAAATGGGGCGGCGTCGCCATGCGAAGCCTGCCACTGGGACCTTCGGTGGAGTTCCCTATGGGACCACGGACCATGTGCGGGTGTGGTGCGCCAAAATGGGGCGGGGCCGCCATTCGAACGCAGCCACTGGGGCCCTCGGTGGAGCTCCGCATGGGGCCACGACGCGTAGAAATGGGGCGGGTGCACCATGCGAACCCTGCCAGTATGGCCTTCGGTGGAGCCCCCTAGGGGGCCACGAAGCGTGTGAGGGACGTGCCGGGGCCGCCATGCGAACGCAGTCACTGGGGCTTTCAGTGGAGCTAGTTATGTATCTTCTCTCCCTGTGCCCTGCCGCCGCCGCCGCAGCTGCACAAGCACCAGCGATGCCGGCAGCCGAACGTGAACACCGCGGGCCCATCGGCGCGAGTGTTGAAAAGGTTGTGGATTGTCGTCGGTGTCGTCGTGGTCCCTCCCCCTGTTTTCCCTTGTTCTCTTGCATACACCAACTCACAGCTTAACGGGTGATGAGAAGCATGTCTGAGATACCTATCATGAGCGATAGGACCGAAACGTCAACTTCATCATGATTTCCCGCTGCTGCCAGAATCCGCATTCCTCTAGCGAGTGACGGGCTATCAGCCGAAAGCCCTGTTGTCGTATCTGACGCGCAGATGACCATCTACAGCGACTTCGATCTACTTGTACCTTTGGGGGGCGCGCGCCATCACTTGAATACTTCGGCGAATCCCGACTGGGGTCGCATTCCCCCGGGCGTCCCCATCATTCATTTGATTCATGATCTTTTTGTTCCGATGGAAGACAGTGCTTCGGCACTGGTCAAACAGTGGACGGGGAGAGCCACGTGGATCGTGACCTCTTAGCGATCATAGAAGATGACGACTTGAAGTCGGAAGTTGCATCCATCAGGGATAAGAAGACCATGGGCGCATCTCAGCCGGAGCGCGCGAGGGACTGCACGGGTGAAGCGCCAGAAACAAAGCGTGCAGGCTTCAGCTTAGCTGGGAGTTTGTTTGGCGATCAGCCTCGCCCAGCAATGCAAGACATTTCTGGATCGACCCCTGTTCCACTGTTGTCTCCGCGTAACGCTATAAGAGATCAAATTTCTCGATCACCTTTGGCATCCAGATTGCGCGCTAGGTCAACGAGTAGCCAAGGGCCCATGGGCCCGATGACTCCGGCGTTACCCGTCAGCCGAAAACAGATGTCCCGGGTAGGCAAACAACGTGGGCGGTCCATGCTAGCGACCTGGGTGCGAAGGCTGATCGCATGCGTGCCAGCATTGCACTCTCAATTTGTTTTGTTCGTAACATTATCACGAGAGAACATAATTGCGGCAGCCTTGCTTTTCCGGAGTGGCGGCAAACACGGGCAGACGAGAGAATTGCCAGAGCGAAGGAGGTCCGTGAAGAACTGACCGCGCACGTTCGAATGATCAGACAAAAGGGCGATCAATTTTGAAACATGCAGAATGAGAAAGACGCTCTCCTCCAGGCCGCGCAACAAGCCCATTCAGGCCGGCCGGCTGCGTCGGAGGCAGCTCAACTGTCATTGATCGAAGCCGAAAGGCGTCATGTGGAGATGGGGGAGTCTGCAGAATTTAACTAAGGCGACGGATCTGGTATCGGTTGACAACATTGATCGTTGTCTTCGTGAGAGAGGGCTCGCTGGACATATTTGTGGCAGAAACATTCCGTTGGATCGCAATGATAATCGAAAAGGAACCGCAGAAGAGCTCTTCGCAGCAAGGCCGACATTAATATGAGGCCTGTTGCCCACCCCGAAGAAAGTTGGCAAACACCTGCGAAGCGAGGATTCAAAATCAGAGGCCGGCATCATTCACCTCGCCAAGACCACGGGCCTCATGCCCCCGTGGACTGCCGATCAGGCAAATGACAAACCTCCGTGCCGATGCGAGCCGTATTTTTGCTATCTTGAGCCCCTATTGAAGAGGTTCATTGCGCGCAATCTTTGGGGAAGGGACAATGCCAGGGCAGCTGTTTTCCGGCCCGTTGCGCGGTGGCATATCGACCCGACAGGCTCCGACGACCTGCTCTCCTGGGCGCGCGCTCATTCGGCCAGGCGTTGGAGACGACCGAATTGAACCAACGATTGGATGGGGACCTTGGGTGGAGCCTTGCGGCGGACGGAACTGCCCCTCCCGCGGGCACGTGGTTGGGTTGCGAATGCACAAAGAATTCGAGAGACGCAGTCTTTCCTGGATAATGACCCACACTTCCGCATCGAGCTGCGCGTCGCAACCTCGAAGCCTCGGAGGTCCGGCCGCGCATAATTTCCGAAGATGCAAGAAGGAGGCGCGATGAATAGCTGGACTTCTGCCCCAATCGCCCCAGCGTTAATTTGGTCGATGGCCGCTGCGTGGGCGTGCCTGAGTTCACGCGCGAAGAGGGTCCGGGAGCCTTTCATTTCAGGGATCAGCCACGCGATGGCCGCAGAGAATTGCAGTCCACATTTTGCAGGCCAAGTTGACTTTCGACATAACCAACGAATATTTGTGATTGCGAAACCCAAAGACGCAATGAGACGTCCTCTTGTACGAACATGCGCCCAGGATGGAAGTGACCTGCACGTTGGTCCTCGAGCGGTGACTGCCGTCAAAACCCCCAGGCATGATGCGACGAGGATAGCGTCCAAGTTCAAGCGTCAATGAGTAGTTGTAGACGCATGTTCGATGACAAGGAACGACATGTCTTCGCCGATAGGGTTGGCAAGCCCATCATGGATGACGTCTTGGGAAAGTGCATTCATCCTGCCTTGGTTGAATACAGGCCCCTTCGCGCAATGCATTTTTAATCGGGTAGGCATATAGGGTTTTGTTTTACAAGAACGATGAATCGTGTTCTAGACAGATGCCAATGCGACGCGTGCTCAGGGCGGGACAGAGCATCCGCGCGCAGCTGCCGACAGGAACAGCCAGTGTTACAATTGTCCCAGACGGGGCAGCCGCCAGCATAGCCGCGAGTGCCTCCGTGGAGAGCCGGTGGGAACTCACGGAGGTCGACGACGAGCGCGATCGGGTCACCGACCCAGCCGGTGTCCCCGCTGTTCTTCCTTTCTGCTCTTCCCGCGCCGCCGTCGGGCAATGTGCTGGCCGCGGCCGCGGAGGGCCGACCCCTCCACGATGGCGCGCCCGGGCTGCCCCCGCGGCGCGACAACCTGCCGGGGCCGCCTGCGGCCCCGCGCGGGGGCAAGAGTCGCGAGACTGGATCAAGGCAGGCTTTTGCACCAAATCGCGCCCCAAATCGTCGGGCGCCCTGGGCGCGTCAATGACAGGAAGGTCAATATTTAGGTTGTCGTGGATCAACTGGAAACATGAGCCAGCGCAACTACTACCAGGGCCAGTAGAACACCGGGACCCATTATGATGCACTTGATGGAAATAAGTATGTGCAGAATGCAAGTGAGAAGAAAGGGCAGCGATGGGCTGCGAACGAGCATGATTGATGTTCCTATCGCAGTCGCACGAGGCACATGAAAAGCTGCTGTCAACGTCTCTGATGGGGCCGCATTGCATGCTCAACAAGAACGGGACAATGTGCCTGGACATGAACTTCTACATTCGTTCTGTCTGGTACCAGGGGGCTTTTTTGTGGGATGCGTCGGTCCGTTCCGGTTTACCCCCAAGGGGAGATCCGACGGCTGCATCGGCGCCCTTTCCCCTGGAGTTGTAAAAAATGTTTGAGGGTTTGGCGGGTTGGCGCTAGGGGGGGGGCCAAAGTGCTTCGGGGGGTGCCAGGAAACCGCGGATCTCCCGGGGGTCTGCTAAAACGCTGGGCCCACACGTCCCGCCGCGGGGGGGGGGTATGTTACTCTTCTCTCCCTGCTCGCTCCCTGCCGCCGCCGCAGCTGTGTAAGTACCAGAAGCGAGGACCGCCGAGGGTGGGCACCCCAGGGCCACCGGCGCGAGAGTTGAAAGGTTGTGGATTGTCATCGCTGTCGTCGTCGTCGTCCCTCCTCCTCCCTTCCCTGGTTTCTCTGTATATATTATTTCACAGTTTAACTGATCATTGTAAACATTTCTGAGATGCCAATCACGCGCGATGGGGCTGGCACGTTAGCTTCATCCTCGTGCCCGACTTTTGCCAGGAACCGTTTTTTGGGGCGAGTGACTGAACTCCTTGGGGCCACGAAGCTTGTGATGGGTGTGCTGGCGCTTTCAGTGGAACTCCCTATGCGGCCACGGATCGTGTGAGGGGTGCGCCACAATGGGGCAGCGCTGCCATGCGAACCCTGGCACTGGGGTATTCGGTGGAGCTCTTGGTGCCGACATGGGCATGCTGCGGACGAAAGGGCGCAGGATGATGATGATGATGATGATGAGGAGGAGGAGGAGGAGGAGGAGGAGGAGGAGGAGGAACAGGAGGACAGGAGGAAGAGGAGGAGACCAGTTTAACACCAAGACTCATCAACGATATTGCATTGGGCCGTCCCTCCAAGCTCCCTCATCGGTTCCGATTCGGGTTAATTCTCGTTGAGGGAAATGCGTAGGGGAGGGGGAGGAGGAAGGGTAGGGCACGCACGAATACAAACTGAGTGCCTCCGGCCGCCGCCGCGGAAGGAGCAGGAGTCCTGCAGGGGCTGGGACGTGCCCATCGACCGCAAGGAGATCAGGGTGGCCAAGAGCCAGAGCGGCCCGGGCGTGATCACCCTGCGGGCGTGGGCGACCGTGCCCGGGGTGGCAAGATGGGGCGCTCCAGAAATGGTCTCGCCTTTCTAGGGGTCGACAGGTCGCCTTCCCTTTTTCGTCGGGCGGCGGCGGAAGGCCAGCGGAAGTTAAAGCGAAGGGCACCCCCGAGGGCGCGAAGTTATTCGCGCTTGGCGCTTCGCGGTTCGGCTCCGATTCCTCCTCGTCCTCTTCTTCTCCCCTGGGAGGCGGCGCGAAGCGCGAAGTGGTTCGCGCAGCGCGAAGCGCGAAGTTGGGAGCCCTCGTAAAGCGGGGGAGCTCCGCCGGCGGAAGGTCGGCGGAAACTGGCGGACATGGTTGCGGCACGTGTGCATCGAGGGTTTTCGGGAGGCCCGAGGGGCGAGGGCCCTTTTCCACCAGGCGCCGGTTTGTTAAGCGGAGCAAGTTGTCGAGCAAGAGCTCTTGCGACGTGCACAACCCTGCGTCTTCCTGACAGTCACGCAGCCTGCCAGCCCTCAGAGGACTAGACAGGCCCCCAGGTCCAGTTTTGCAGCCCGAGTTGTTTGTGGGCTGTCCCGGGGCCTAGTGATGGCCCCCAAAGGCCGGCAAGGGCTGTATTTTTTTTGGGGTGTAGCGAGAAGAGGTTTGGGTTGCCCCAGGTGGACGTCAATGTCGCCTTCACGCTATTTCACGACACCCAGGAACGCAAGAAGTGGGACAAGGTATTCGCCGAGATGGCCATCATCGGCGAGGATTCTCCAGGAGGGAGAGAGGCGCCGAGTTGGCCGCGCCTCTTTCCAAACGTCTTCTCGTGGTGGGAAAATCATGAATGAAAGTTTTTGGGGGTCTTCGACCTTTGGGATCTAGGACTGCCAGATGGGGTCCGAGAGGATGGGGGTTTTGAGGACCGCGCAGCATCGCCGATACATCGGCGATGCGGCTCGACGTCGATGCCGATTCTCTCCACGCCGACTTCGCCGACGCATCGCCAATGCATCGGCGATACATCGGCGATTCGGCACAATCCTCGGACCCCATTGGCTGGTACCCCGTTCGGGATGCCTCCAATACACGCCGGTCGTTGAAAGTAGGTATTTTCCTACTTCATGTTTCTACCTTTTTCTTCCGACCGACGTGTATCGACGGGATATTTTTGAATGCTTCGGCCTTTGAGGGCCCCTACTGGGCCCACGGACAGTCTATAAGGCAGCCTCGGGATGCAAAAAACCGGCCTTGGCCAAGGGGTCCGGACCTCTTCGGGTGCACGTTGTGGAGGAAGCACGGCGTCGGAGATGTGGGCCCGTCCGCCCCAGACCTCAACACGTGGGCTTCGACGCATCTTTCGCACGGGTTTCGCAGCGTTTTTTCTGTTTCTCTCAAATGGGACGTCGCCCACCAAGGTTCTGACATGTTTTGCGAAGAAGCGGTGGGTGGCATTCCCCTATTCCGAGGCGGGACCCGGCCTTGCTTGGTTACCTGGTCGTGGTGTCCTTCGGAGGCCCTGGTCTTGTTCCCCGGGTCCTTGCTCGATTCCCGAGTCTTGTTCTTTGCCTTCCTGTCTCCTGTTTCCAGGTTTGGTTCCTCGGGTTCCCTGGTCTTGTTCCTTGGTTTATCCAGTCGTTGCGTTGCCAAGCGATGCCGAGCAACGCCACACAACGCAAGTCACTGCCAAGCATCGTTTTGCAATTGCAGATCGTTGCGCTGATCAGAGCTGCTCTGAGCTGCCTTGGAGGAAAGACCCCTACTTGGGGCCGCGATGGGCTCTTTTTTGGGCGGGGGGAGCAGGGCTCGAGACCGCCGTCGGCGGCCCAGACTCCGAAAGACTGGCTGCCTTGCCTGCCAGGATGCCGGAGCCGTGGGTCCTTCGGCCGCAGGTGGGGCCAGAGGGTGTCGGGGGTGGACAGACCTTCTACCCCGACACGTCGATTAAGGAATTGGCCGTTTTCCGTTCGCGAGAGGGCGTCGCGGCCGCCATTCTTGCGGGTCCAGGTCCGTCGGCTTCGGTCCCACGCCGTTTTCACTAAGGGGAGGTTTACTAAAGGGAGGCTTGTCCACCGCCGAGGGTGCTGCTCGGGACAGCTCGGGCGCCTTCCAGAGGGTGCTCCCGACGGGGCGCAGCGCTGGTGGGCACCTCCAGTGCTAGACGCCACCTTCAAGGGCAACGTTAGGGTGAAGTCGGGCCTGTCGCTCCACAGGGGGGATCTTCAAACATAGTCCAAACAGATAGTACGGGGACGATGTTTTTTAATGCTTTTTTGACTTTTTTGAGTATTCTCTATTTTGGGAGTGTTCTCTGTTTATTTTTTTGTGTATGTGTGTGTGTGTGTCTGTGTGTGTGTGTATGTGTGTGTGTGTGTGTGTGTGTGTGTGTGTGTGTGTGTGTGTGTGTGTGTGTGTGTGTGTGTGTGTGTGTGTGTGTGTGTGTGTGTGTGTGTGTGTGTGTGTGTGTGTGTGTGTGTGTGTGTGTGTGTGTGTGTGTGTGTGTGTGTGTGTGTGTGTGTGTGTGTGTGTGTGTGTGTGTGTGTGTGTGTGTGTGTGTGTGTGTGTGTGTGTGTGTGTGTGTGTGTGTGTGTGTGTGTGTGTGTGTGTGTGTGTGTGTGTGTGTGTGTGTGTGTGTGTGTGTGTGTGTGTGTGTGTGTGTGTGTGTGTGTGTGTGTGTGTGTGTGTGTGTGTGTGTGTGTGTGTGTGTGTGTGTGTGTGTGTGTGTGTGTGTGTGTGTGTGTGTGTGTGTGTGTGTGTGTGTGTGTGTGTGTGTGTGTGTGTGTGTGTGTGTGTGTGTGTGTGTGTGTGTGTGTGTGTGTGTGTGTGTGTGTGTGTGTGTGTGTGTGTGTGTGTGTGTGTGTGTGTGTGTGTGTGTGTGTGTGTGTGTGTGTGGGGGGGGGCATTTGGCATAGTTTTGGAGCAGTCTCCATTCTTCCTCCAAGATCTGCCTGTCGGGGTACCTGCCCGATCTGACGTTCGCGGGGGGGCAGTCGGCTCCGGGGAGGGCGCATCGACCCCCCCGGGTCGCCCCCCTGAGCTCGCCGACCGGGGCCCGATGGCCCGCCGCGCCCGGGACCGTGCGGACTCGCCGTCGGGGGCCCGTCGCCGACCTCTCTCGGCGATGCACCGGGTCCGGCTTGAAGGAGGAGCAGGGTCCCGCCTCTGACTGCTTTTTGACCCTCCTCTTTCTGCTTTTTTTCCACCCTCCTCTTTCTGTTTTTGGCCCTCCTCTTTCTGCTTTTCCACCCTCCTTTGTCTGCTTTTCCACCCTCCTCTTTCTGCTTTTCCACCCTCCTCTTTCTGCTTTCCACCCTCCTCTTTCTGCTTCTGCTGCTGCTGTCCACCATGTGGCGATGTGCTGCTGTCGCTGCACCAGGGCCCTCGGTACGTGCAGGATGGGCGCGGGAATCTGCAGCCCACCTCCGTGTTTTTTGTTCGGTACGGTGCGTCTGGGGAGGCTATCAGTGCTTCTATTGGAGAGAAAACAATTACTTTTCAGAAGGGGCTCGGCCGTTCCGTGGGTGTGAGAGCGTTCCGCTGCCTTTGTGGCGGCGAGCCCCCCCCCTGGTGTTCCCTCGGACCTCGTAGACCTACCTGGAGCTAAAGGGGCTCCGTTCCTGATTTATCGCTCCTCGGGTCAGGCCGAATACGGCCTCGCCGAGCTATCGGCGATGTATCGCCAAGTCCAGGGCCATGTGTCGCACCCGGAGCTGGTGCCCGACCCCACCGCTCTTCCTCAAGTGCTGGTGAACACTCCGGGGCCCGACAGGAGGAGGAGGAGGAGGAGGAGGAGGAGGAGGAGGAGGATACCTCCGAGGTGCTCCAGAAGACATCCGAGCGGTCTGCAGAGGTTCCCGGAGGCCCCCTGAGGCCTGGAGAGTGCACGTCCAAAAACGTAGCTCTTCGGTCTTCCTCCATAGGAGGTCCGAGCCCTCAGGCCTCAGGTGGAGGAGGACCTCCTCAATATCCCCATCCTCATCCTGCTCATCCTCCTCGTCCTCTCCACCACCACCTTCACTCCATCCTCGTCCTCTTTTGTCCGGTCATCCTTCTGTTTCTGCACCTGCCCCCCGTCATCCTCCTGACTGTTCGCTCTTTGATGGGCCCGTGGGGCCGCTCGATGGCACGAACCCCGCCCCACTCGCGTCGGCTCGGATAATGCTTCATTCGTCAGAGTCAGCGCTGACTAGTCTCCGGCAGCGTGTGATCCTCCTCCTCCAGCTCATCCTCCCTCCTTGTATCGTCCTGCATCTCGTCTCAACCCCTCCTCGCTCCCTCGCGCCCCCCCCTCCCCGCCGCCTGCCCCCCCCTCCCCCCGCCCGAAGGGCTCGGAGCTCCTGTACTCCGTGATCCGGCCGCCCGTCGCGACGCCCCGCGACTTCCTGCAGTTCCGGCGGGTGCGCGTGGAGAAGGACTGGGAAAGGGGGGGGGTACGAAATCTGCTGCACGCAGCTGCTTCCGGCCCCGCCGCCGGGCCCAGTCCTCGATACGTGGGCGCTTCCCGGCGCCGGGAGGCGCTGGGAAAATCAGCTAAGTGAGCTGATTTCAGGAGGGAACAAACACACAGACACAATGAATCGCCGATTCCCCAGGAAAATGTGGGAAAATATGGGAAGGGGGGGGGGAGACAAAGACCAAGAAAATATTGGAGAATATAGGGAATCCTGTTCTTTGTGTCCATTTATTTGTGTGTCCCAGGGCCCCTTCATGATTCTCTACCCTACCCTTTGCTGTCCCCCCTTTCGTTCCCCCCGAGATGGGTGCCCCGAGGCTTCGCCACGCTCGGGCCTGCTGCCGCCCCGCTGCCGCTGCCGGGGATGTCCCGGGTACATCTGCCAGGTCCCGGCCCGGGCCGCTGCCGCCCGGTGCCCCGAGGTCTCGCCCGTGTTCGGGCCCGCTGTCAGCCGTTGCCGCCGTTGCCCGGGGGCCCCCAAGCGGTGTGGTGACCATGCCGTGCGGTGAGTCGGTGGGGATTCGGGGTCACCGCACGGTTTTGGGACTCGAGTTCCTCTCCGAGGATGTCTGGGGCCTCCGAGGTCCCAAGACCGTGAGGTGACGGACCGTGCCGTGCGGTGAGGTCTTGCGGGATTTCGAGGTCACCGCACGGTCTGTCACCGCACCGTTTCGGGACTCCAAAGTTGCAGCCCTTTGCCTTGGTATCGCTCGGACCTGTGCACTTTTTCTCGGCGGGGATTATTGAGGAGCATCCTGGATCATCCTGCGAAAAAAAAATAACACGCACGAAGCCAGACAAAGGCACAGGGGATGGACGTCCGAGCGATGGCCAGTTGCCATCCCTCCCTTTCGCCCCCCCCGGAAGGACGGCTCCATCCTCATCGTGCTGCGCTCGGCGGAGCTCCGGGCCGCCGAAGAGCCGCAGGGGCGGCGGGGCCCCGCGAGGCCCCTGAGGGGGCGCTTCCTCTGGGGGGCAGCAGGCCGGGGGCGGCTCAGAGGGGGGTGATGACTAGGGGGGTGGATATCATTCAGGAGGGCAGAGAACACACAGACACAATGAATCGTCGACTCCCCAGGGAAATATTGGAAACTATGGGAAGTGGGGGGGGAAGTCAAAAGCCAAGAAAATGTAGGAAAATATGGGGAATCCTGTTCTATTGTGTCTATTTATTTGTGTGTCCCAGTTCCCCTTTTCCATGGCGTGGGCCATGATATTTCCTCAGATTCCATGGCGCCCCTTCTGTTTCACTGCCTCCCTGGCCCCCCCTTGGGCCGCGCTCCGACCAGGAAGGCCAGGGAGGGAGCAGGAGGGAGCAGGAGAAGAGAGGAGGGGGACGGGGACCGAAGAAGAAAATCACATAAACATAAACTGTTGGCGCTCCGCGCGGATTTCTCGGATCGGCGCCGGGGCCCCCCACAGAGGCGCAGCGCGCCAGGGAGGGGCTTCCGGTGCAGATCCAAGAAATCCGCGCGGACCTCTAGAGGAGGGGGGAGGAGGTCGAATGTCGCTGCCGCCCGAAGGAGCATCCCGACTGCCCCCCAGACAAGCGGTACGTCCGCGCCGAGTCGTACATCTCTGGCTACGTGCTCCGGCAGGAGTTCCAGGGCACGACGCCGGTCTTGCGAGCCAACTCACATGAAAATCGCATGCCAGTCCTCCGTCATTCCCAAGACTCCCCCCCAGGCGACAGAATCCTCCAGCACCGTTTCTTCTGGCTCCTTGCCTCCAATGCCGCGCACGTGCAAGCCGATGTTTTCCTAAGTAGCGACTCCTCGTCCTGGCACGAGCCACTGTCTGGCGCCAAGTGCCGAAACCCAAGGCGCATCCCCTCTGTTCACGGTCAGTGGCCCTCCTACGCCTCTTCGTTGCCAATCCTCATCCCTCGTCCCTTCTCCTCCTCCGCTTCATCTCCCTCCTTGTTCTCCTCTTCCTTCGGTCCTCAAGATCTTCCTCATGAGCTGCACGGACATCAAGGGCCTTATCCCGAAGTGGGGCGGCAGTTTCTTCGCCAGGGGAGGGATGAGAGTCAGACAAGGGCCGGACGGTAGGACGGCACAGTCCATCACTCCCATGGCAGCGGGGCCCCAGATTGAGACAGCGCTCCGCTGCCAAAGGTTGTGGATCGATGGTGCCGCAGGCTCGCATCGCGCATCGAATAATAGTTCTTGGCGCCCCGCGCGCCACCACCAGTCCCTCCAGAAATGACTCCCAGGCGTGCTGTCCTGAAACAGGCAGTAGGGGAGCATCGGTGAGAAAAGAGTGGGGGCACCAGGCAAGCCGATGCAGGGGTCAATGCCGACATAATGCTTCATGCATTCGATCGGCCTCAGTTATCTAGTCGCAGAGGGTCGTGGCCGCTTGATGGAAACAACAAAGCTTGGCTTGGGCCGGCCCGAGTCACACCAACGATGGCCTGTGGGAGACAGGAGCTCCCGTGGAGCTTCGGAATACTTTTCAGATTGGCTTCGGGCCAACTTTGGGCTCTCTTTGGGCTCAGCTGACGTCGACTTGCCCTTCGGCCTCGTGCACTGATTGCTTTTGGTTGCCAGGCTCTCGCAGTCGCCTGTCTTGGCGTCGGTTCCATGGGCCGTCTCAGGTCTAGCCGATGTGGCGCTACTGTTCGCGAGGTGGCGTGCTCAATATTTTCTTTTGTTTTTTCTTTCAGGCAGCCAAGGCTCTGGCATCTTAGACGGTGCACCTGATGTGCGTCTCCCGAACAGTTTTTCGGTAGAGGTTTCTGGTAGAGGTAAACAAGGGCCACAGAAAAGGCCCACGGGGAGGACGGAGAGCCCTAGAACGCCCGGGTCGGCAGCCGTTGTCGTTTGAGTATTATTCCCAACCTTCCTTTGTTGAGGTCTCGTTCTGAATAGAGGGGTAGAGCGCTGCGGTCGCGTCTCCTCCTCCTCCTCCTCCTCCTCCTCCTCCTCCTCCTCTTCCTCCTCCTCCTCCTCCTCCTCCTACGCAAGACATTGGGCGCAGCACAGTCTGCTACGACCAACGAAAGGCTGAAAGCCGAACCTGGGCCTCAGAACAACAACGACTCGCGCACAGCGTGGATGAGGAGGAAGTGCACTGCCGCGCGCACGGAGATGTCCGGCCCAGCCACTGTGGCCGGCAATCGGGTTGCTGCTCGGCGGGAGGCGGGGCACGGGGCGCCGCCGCAGCCGCCGCAGAAGTGGCCTCCCCGAGCTGCCACAGCGAATCACTGATGCTACAATCGGCGCTCGGCACGGCCCAGCGATCAGCGCACCCACCCTCAGAGGCGACCGCCGTGCAGAGGCGGGACCCCACGGCGGGATCCTGCAGCAGCCTGCCCCGGCGCCACGGCCTCACCGACTTGTCCTTGTGCCGCTTGCCGGTCGAGCCGTTCACGGATGGCGAAGGAAAGGTCGCGGATTTCCACGCGCGGCCCACCCCGCGCAGGAGAGCGCCAAAGCCCGAGCCTCATCGTCCCGCTCGCGACAGAAGGCCGTTTCGGCGAGCACCGTGGCGTCGGCCTCACCTAATTAGGCCAGCTGCAGGGCTGAGTTGTCCAGGAAGAGGCCGAGGGGGAGAGGTTAGAACGCCACGTCGAACGCCGAGCCGAAAGCCGTGCCTTCCTCGCCACCTGCCTCGTCGTCGGTGTCGCAGGGCGCCACGGTGTGCTGCATGTCCGCGAACACGACGGCATCGCATGTGCACCGTACGCCCACGACCGTCGTCACGCGGGGAGGCTCACAACAGCGGGCGGCCGAGGGAACAACACCCTCGGCGGCCGCATAGAGCACGCTCTCCACGCCGCCGCCGATGGCCAGCAGGGCCTCCAGGTCCTCCGCGCGCCGCGCGCCACCCGGCATGGGCGGCAGCATCGAATGAGGGGCGCCACCCAAGACTGACAGGAGCTCGCGGACGGAAGGCAGGAGCGCTGCAGTGCCGCTGCCAGCGTGCATCCCCAACCTGGGGCCAGACGCCGCCCGAGCCAGCGCGTCGGCGGCGGCACCTGCGGAGCCCCCTGGCGGGCACCCGCTGGGCATGCCACGAGGCGCTCCGCCGCTTCGCGCGGGCTGCCTGGCGCGCGCCGTCCCTCTGACGGGCGCCGCAGCGCAGGCCGCGCCCCGCGCTTGCGGTCCCGCCACGAGCCCAGGGGGGAACGGTCCCCGCTCCGTCGGGCACCGCGCCTCTCCAGAGCCGCGAGGCGCCTGCCGCGCGCGGCGCGGCGAGCCGCCGTCCGCCCCAGGGCGCCGCCCTCGAGGAGGCGGAGGGCGCTGGGCCGCCCGACGGCCCGCAGCCCGCCGCAGTCCATCGTGCTCCGTGAGCCAACAGCCCCGCTCCCCCCGACGTCCCCTGCGCCCGCCGCGGTTGCCCCGACCTGGTTGGGGTCGCAGGGCACGCCGGGGGACAGGGTCCAGGAGCGGGGGACCTACGGACAGGCATGAGCCACAATGGCTACGGATCCCTCCTCCTCCTCCTCCTCCTCCTCCTCCTCCTCCTCCTCCTCCTCGTCCTCCTCGTCCTCCCCGCCCCTCACATCCTCCTCCTGACTCTTCATGCGCTGCTCTCTGGGGGGCTGCGAACTGCGCAACTGTCGCCATTTGCGTGGGCTCATGGGAGGCATCGCGGAGTCGGGGAGTAAAAGTGCCCAGCCGAGAGCTCGCAGCTCCATGGGGGGCTGCGAACTGCGCAACTGTCGCCACTTCCGTTGGCTCCTGGGATACACGGCGTTGGTGAGGGCAGCGCAGATCGTGCGTATTTGGCGATGTGTTCTTTCGTACGGAGCGTTCAGGCGAGTATTCGCCTCGCGTGGAGACGGCTTTGGGTACGTCTCGGTTAATTCACAGTTGATTCAGGAATCGTGCTCTCGCCCCAATGCTGGCTAGATTTCTTGGTATGGACGGCCACGATCCTTGGCAACACATACTAAGGTGCAAGTGGCCGTTCCCTCACTTGATATTAGGCTGCTCTGCTGGGGTGGAGTTTGTTGCCTGTCTTCGTGAGGCTGGTGCACGGCTTGCCACTCTGGCGGTTTCGGCGTTGCCCCCTCTTTCGGCAGCTCGGACTGCGGCGAAGATTCCCAGCGCCTGATGCCTCCTCCCGCGTTCCTCATTTGCGGCCGCCCTCCTCTTGTCTTCAGCTGCATTGCGTGCCCCAGGAGGAGGAGGAGGAGGAGGAGGAGGAGGAGGAGGAGGAGGAAGAAGAAGAAGAGGAGGAGGAGGAGGAGGAGGAGGAGGAGGAGGAGGGAGGAGGAGGAGGAGGAGGAGGAGGAGGAGGAGGAGAGGAGGAGGAGGGAGGAAAAAAGGGAGGAGGAGAACGAGGAGGAGGAGGGAGGAGGAGGAGGGAGGAGGAGGACGAGGAGGAGGAGGAGGAGGAGGAGGAGGTGCGGCCGCCCTCCTCTTTGTCTTCAGCTGCACTGCGTGCCCCAGTCCGGGCGCGGCCCGCCGGCCTCCGAACACGTCGTTGGTGACCGCCTTCGCTGCTGACCTGCAGAGGTGTGGAGCCCACCGGGCCATCGGGCCTCAGGTGGCCACAACCAAAAACAACTGTGCGTGTTCGTCCTCGCCCCGACGGGCGAGGTTTTGCGACTCGCGTGGGTTCCCTTTTGGCCACCTTGGGGCCGCCGTGATGCCTCGGAGGCCCATCCCAGCGGACTCACACAGGCGGGGGGGGAGAACAGCAGCACTCACTGCCGTAGGGCTTCAATTGGGAGGCTCCGTGGCCACCCCGGGCCGTGCTGTGGCGTTACAGAGGTTGCTTGGTCCCCTTGAACTGTGCCGGGCCAACTTGCGCGATCGTGGGGGGCATGCATCGCAGTATGAGGCTAGGCTGCTTCTTTCTGAGGCCAAATGAGACGTCCCAGCCCATCTCAGAAGCCTGGCGAAGGCCGGCAAATCCGTGGCTGCTACAACGGAGCTGCGGGAAATGTGTTCTTTCTTCCGGGAAGCAGCCCGTTTACTATTTAGCGCGCTGAGGTTTATTCCAGGACTGTGTGTTTTCCCTTCCGGGAAGACCGTTCTAGCAGCCACGGATTTGCCAGCCCTCGCCCAGCTTCCAACCATCGGGCCCCCGTCCAGACCCTTGGCTCCGGTAATTCGTGGAGCGAGCTCGCCCCTGCCAACTGCCCCTCGGGGATAACAGAGACGGGTGTATGGCCCCCCGTCTCGGTCGCTGCGAGACGAGGCGGGGCGGTCTCCGAGACAGCCACGAAGATGGGACATTATCGGCCAAGCTGGTCCAGCCGGGCCGTCACTAGGCTCGGGCCGAAAGGAAGAGGGGACAGCGAAAGGGGGGTTACGAAATTTGCTGCATGCAGCTGGTTTCGGCCCCGCCGCCGGGCCCAGTCCTCGATACATGAACGCCTCCTGGCCCCGGGAGGCGCTGGGAAAATCGGCCACGTGAGCTGATTCTCTACCCTACCCTTTGCTATCCCCCCCTTCCGTTCCCCCTGATAGGCCTCCGAGAGGACTGCAGACCGCCACAAGACGGCCCGAGATGGCCACGCAGCCTCCTGAGGATGGCCCCGAAAGGGCACACAAGAAACAACCAAGGTTCCCTGAGCAGCTTGTCTGTAAGGCTTCCATGTAGCTCTTGTGAGGCAGGTTACGCTTCTCTCCCGATTCGAAATCGGAGGCTCTTGGTCTCCTGCACGGTCTCCCGCATCGATCGGTGGCTCGTCGTCCGTGGTCTTTGGCACGGTACGGTCTCTCGTATAATCTCGCGTATGGTCTCCCGAATGGTCGCCCGCATGGTGTCCCGAATGGTCTCCCGCAGGGCCTTCCGTGTATTCTTCCGTACTGTCTCTCGCCTGGTCGACTGGTCTCTTGTGTGGCTCGTTGTAGCTTCTCCCGTGTGGCTTGCCGCATGGCGTCCCATGTGCATCGAGGGGCCAGGAGGGCATGTCGGGCAAGGGGAGACAAGGAAAAACATAACACAGGCAAGCGTCAGGGGACGGCGGAGGGCGGTGCCGAAGGCCTCTTGCTTTCCAGGTGCCGCGCCCGCATCGCCGACGCCCCAA